TAATATTTGAGAAACCCGTTGCTCCATTGGTCTAGTAGAAAACAATTGCCAAATTGACTCACACTTTTTCATTACGACACTGACGATGCATTGGTTAGGTACATTTATGTGTGCAATCAATTCAATACTTCATTGAAGATTTACAATATTTTAGATGAACTAAGAGAACTCCAGAATTGCAAGACAATTACGACGGTATGTTTCTAGTAATTAAATGTAAGGATAGTTATAAATAAAAATTAATTGCAGCAAGGATCATTGTCACGAACTGAATAATTGAGAGCTAAAAATAGATATTGAAAATTGAAGGTTTTGTTTTGATTTAGACCATCGTGGAAGTTCATGTTAAAAATACTCATGAAAAACCTTGGAGAGAAGGTTCTGTAGACATTCACGTTGAAAAAATCACTGCAAACCCTCAGCCCGGCACTTCCAACATTCCTCCCAACGTCCAGAAATCTACGAAATCAGCACAAAGTGATGATGAAAAGCTGGAGATGCAAACAAAAAATTCTGCACTGCTTTTCGATGATCAAGTAATCCATTCCCTGATGAATCATTAATAACATTCAACTCAATTAATAATTATTAATTATAGATGATAACATCATCTCGCTGGAATTGAGTAAAACCTCGAGCAATACAAGTTTTGGGATTCAACTTCAATTTCGGGTAAAAACTTTTCGGAGAAATACGGTATTTTCACGTTTCTAACGATTTTGAAGTGCCTGAGATCAATTTTTAGAGGGGTTAAGAATAATTTAGATTCTTTGTTAAAAGATTGTTTAAACACTTGTGCTGGGGATGATGAAGGGCATTTCAAATCTCCTAAGGACAACTTTGATAGACTTTTATTTGAATTTTATCAAAAAAGAATGCTATTACTATTGAAAAATCGGGCCACGAGGTCATATTGGTACATTGTGAATATTTCAAGAATTGCATTCCCTCGGATAGTATTTATATGACTTTTTGCTTAAATTCGAAATTACTCAAAGTTGCCTTTAAAGACATCCAAAAAATTGTCTCCAAAAGTGTGTCTCAAACGACTTCGAATTATCGAATTATCGCCTGCCTTGTGAATGGGAAAAATTCATGTCTTGTTCCATCTGGCTATCAACTCTCCAGTCTTTTATACTCCGTCCAAGACCAGGAAGACATCTTCCAAGCCTTCTGAAGGAAGCGCTATTAGACATTCTATTATGATACCATTTCCCCCAGGGGCTTTTCGATTTTCATATCTCCTAGTGCTCTGGCCACTTCTTTCTTTGATATCTCTGAATTCATCTGGTCCACCGTCTCCTCCACCTGGAGGCCTTCTAGTGCAGGTGCTAAGCGTTCCTGCGCTTGCTGAACTTGTTCCTGCGGTTCCAACATACTCCAAGGATCCTCATTTCCTGTGTCAGTCTCGGCCTCCTCTAACAGCGCACCTAACAGCCTCTTGAAGTGCAACCACCCTCCATCTGAGATGTCTCCCCCCAGAGTCGCCTTTCTGCGTCAGTATTCATTCAAGATTTTCCCGAGTAGCGAAATACTTCTGCACTTCTCCAAAGTCCGAGCCTCACCCTCTCGAAAGTCCTTCCTCTTCCGTTTCCGGCGTTGGTGGAGGTTTCTCCTTTCTTCAACATGTTGTACCACTTTTACCCCATCTTCTGGGTTTTTCAGGGGGTCTTTCAGACAGTCGAAAACAAATCCACTCCTCTGTTTCCTGTAGTCATCCCCCAGCCAGTCCGGCTCTTTGAGTTGAGTTGATGAAATGAGGGGTCAATTTATAGATCTCAGTGGGATTTTCAATTTCATATATGAGTATATCTCGATTGATCAACTTTAAAGTATCAATAAATGAAAAAAAACGGCTTTCCACTTGCGACAAAAAGAAAAAAATGGAAACGATCTGCTCCAACCTCATGAAGGTTTAGTTAAGTCACATTAATCAACCACCAACGCTCACGGATCTTTTACTTATGGATCTTTTTATAACCATTCGAATGGTTGCCGCAACACAAATTTGATTCAAAATTTTAATATATTTTAGACTAACCAGAT